ACCATACGAGTGGCCCTTCTCTGGACCCTCTCCAGGTTATCCACATCCCTCTTGAAGTGCGGCGCCCAAAACTACACACAGTATTCCAACTGCGGTCTGACCAGCGCCTGATAGAGGGGAAGTATCACCTCCTTGGATCTGTTCGTCATGCATCTGCTGATGCACGATAAAGTGCCATAAGCTTTCCTGATGACTTCGTCACACTGCCGAGTCATGTTCATCTTGGAGTCCACTAGGACTCCAAGATCCCTTTCCGCTTCCGTGCCACCAAGCAGGTCATTTCCTAGGCAGTAGGTATGCTGGACATTTTTCCTCCCTAGGTGCAGCACTTTGCATTTCTCCTTGTTGAACTGCATTCTGTTGTTTTCCGCCCATTTGTCCAACCTGTCCAGGTCTGCTTGTAGTTGGTTCCCTGCCCTCCGGCATGTTCACTTCTCCCCACAGTTTTGTGTCATCCGCAGACTTGGACAGAGTACACTTCACTCCCTCGTCTAAGTCGCTGATGAAGACATTGAAGGGTATTGGTCCAAGGACCGAGCCCTGTGGGACCCCACTGCCCACACCCTTCCCGGTCGATACTGACCCATCCACTATGACTCTCTGGGTACGACCTTCTAGCCAATTCGCCACCCACCGGACCGTGCAGTCATCCAAGTCACAGCCTCTTAATTTGTTCACCAGTATGGTGTGGGATACTGTATCGAAAGCCTTCCTGAAGTCTAAGTAAACGACGTCAACCCCTACTCCTGCATCCAGGTTGAGAGATTACTCATGGGCCCTGGCTATAAAGTAGGCTCCGGTTGGTATCAACCTAGTCATTGTACAAGAGGCAAGAGAGGTGGTCATTCAATATTTTAAGTATGCAGGAAGTAGTAGTTCAATAACAGAGGGAACTGAAGAATAGCTGGGAAGCCAGCTATGTTAGCAAATAAAATGTTTATATAACAGATCCCTTAATTTTGCATGCCCACACAATACAACAACACTGTCTTGCAATACAGTAGCAGGCATAACCATACATAATATCCAGCAATTGTAGGTAAGCATTCCTGAACTGGTATCCCAGATACACAGCTGAGCGCTATCACTGGGGAAATGTCAAACATTCCTTTGTTTAAATCAGAGGCGGGCAATTATTTTGGGAGAAGGGCCGCTTACTGAGTTTTGGCAAGCCATTAAGGGCTGCATGAGAGAGAGCCAGGGGCAGATAAATATTAATTTTCTAAATTTTTTAGGGGCCCTGCAGTCCAGATAGAATGGCCTGGCAGGCCACATCCGGCCTTTGGGCCACATTTTGCCCACACCTGGTTTACATAGTCAAATCCTGTTTGGATCTTGCTTACCAATCTAAAAGTCTAGCTGAAACTACATCTCTTCCATATAGGAACTATTTGTCTGTCTGTCCCCACCCCCACGCTTTTTTTTCTTTATAAAATTCTAACTGTGACACTTTCAGGACACATTTATGCTATCGTGGCAGCGTGGGACCACACTTGTGCATGTACTCCAAACCCAGAAGTATGCCAGAGATGTCCCCTGGATACAGTCCTCTGCAACTGCTCGAGAGCAGTTTCTGGGGGACAACCCCAGAACAGCCCCACTGTCATATTTCTGTATTTGGATCATATGCCCAGAGGCAGGTAGGTGGAGCATACTAGCTAAGACATACTGCCTGCCATCCCAGCTTGGACAAGCCCTTAGTGTGCAGCAAACAGTCATTACAGTTACACAGGCATATTGTACTGTGGGTGAAAATGAGATTTAGGAGGACTGGATTCGCCAATTCAGGGGGCAT